GAACCCTAAAGCCTAAAACAGCGACAAGAAATATCTTACCTTAACCATCCAGTCCGCTTGATTGTGATGCAAAAGCGATCATCTTTTCTTTCACTTGTGTCCCAGATTCCTTAATTTTGATTTTTGCCCTGGTGAGCAGGTCTGAGATGCTATCAAACCCGCGCGTGAGCGTCAATGACTTACTTACCATAAGTTGTGAGTTCGTTTCCCCCCGGCACCTTTCTTTTATTGCGGTGAATTGAGCCATGCTCGAATTGATGCGTTTGCCAGTCTATATATAAGAGGCAGAAGTTTGTTCATATCCTCTATTTCGGTCACTGGCACGTGATTTATGAAAGCAGCATTTTTTTCACACTCCAGGGTATATATGGGTGGCACTTCGATAACAGTTATAAGTTCACTTATCTTCTGTAGTGAATCCAAGTTGGGCGTGCCAATCCTGGAGTTGAACTTGCACTGTACGAACACATCCCGACTGAAATCTCTATCAGTATCCGGCCTATAAACAGATCGACTTACCCCTTCTGACGTGTCTTGTGATACAATAGCACTATACCTACCGCCGTTGCCTGTTGTATTGTTATGTGCAGGGTTGCATGTTGTATTTTTTTGTGCATGGTTGCCGGTTGTATTGCTGTTGTGTGCAGGGTTGCTTGTTGTATTATTGTGTACAGGGTTGCCTGTTGTATTTTTTTGTGCATGGTTGCCTGTTGTATTGCTGTTGTGTGCAGGGTTGCCTGTTGTATTGTTGTGTATAGGGTTGCATGTTCTATTGTTTTGTGCAGGGTTGCCTGTTGTATTGCTGTTGTGTGCAGGGTTGTCGTTGCCGTTGGTGACAATATTATTCGTAATATCATAGCTACGTAAATTTACGATACTATTGATAATCATTCGTATACCCCTCCCTCCTTGCAATTTACTATGCACATTATTGTTTACATCCGAACTGTCAGTATTAGTGATATTGTTTTCGATTTCTGCATCCGACTCACTGAAGGAGTTATCGATCGCACCATATTGCACATTTAGGGATAATATTATTTATTTCAAAAATGGCAAGTATGTATGATACAATGTATGAACATATGGTATGGCTCTCATAGTCGCTGTAGTGGTTCAGGAAAAATTTGTGGGAAGAAGTGGACAGTAAATTCCCGTTTGAAGCTTGGGCCAAGTAAGTCGACAATGGAAGATATGTGCTGAGTCAATTCGGGCCGGTGTTGACAAAACACTGTTACTATCGAATGTTCCATATATTCGCTTGCTGACCTACTAAGTAGAGCACCCACCTCTGTGGTACGGATCGGGTCTGCGCCGTGTAGTGCCGCGGAATGGGTTAGTGCAGAGTACGCCAGGTTATCCGTCATAATCCGGTCGAGAAGCGAGGATGGGGGTAAGCCAATGCCGCACCAGACCACGGATGAATTCGGTATGTGTTGGCTGGCCTGGATCGGAAGTATCATAGTCGGAACCAACAAGCGCGATGATTTGGTTTGAATCGATATTTGGAAGTAGTACTTCAACAGCGTCATTAGCCGGGGTATGGGAAACATCTGTTGATGTGTCAGGGACGGGTGAGGGTACGGTGGTTCTTCAACATGCTGGAGAAACGATCCAAGGTGTTCGTGGAGGGTCCAGATACTGTGGAAGTCGTGGCACTCCTGTAATTGCTGAAGGAGGTCAGGGCCAATGGGCGGCAGTTTCGGGCCTACCAGGATGCGTCGAATCAGTTGTTGGATGCAGGTAAAGTGGCTGGTAGTGAACTTGTGGCTACCGGGGCAGACAGGGCAGAGACAGCCACATGAATATTGTTATCTGCTTGTAGTTTTAGAATCTCTGCTACTGTTTCAGGCGATTCTACCAGGTTCCCAAGTTTGAGTCTTCTCTGTCTTTCTGCAATATCGTATGGCTCTGAACAACACCGATAGCACCGGGCCTCTATACCTAGGTCCTTATCGAATGGGGATTTATAGTAGTCATGTGTATACAGTTGACATACTGTACATGCTGCACTGAGAGATTCGTTTTGATCCCCTTCAAGACAGAAGGGGCATCCATTTAAAGAGATCTTTTCCGTTCCCGATGGCGTACCGGTGGCCATTCTGTGTGCTCGTTTATCGTAGTGCCTGTGGCTGTGTATTCGTTGATTGTAGTGCCTGTGGTTGTGTGCTCGCTCATCGTAGTGCCCGTGACTGTGTGTTCGTTCATTGTAGTGCCTGTGGCTGTGTGCTCGTTTATCGTAGTGCCTGTGGCTGTGTGCTCGCTCATTGTAGTTCCTGTGGTTGTGTGCTCGTTCATCGTAGTGCCTGCGATTATGTGCTCGTTCATCGTAGTGCCTGTGGCTGTGTGCTCGTTCATCGTAATGCCTGTGGTTGTGCATCGTACTGCCCGTGTATGCTGCACCTGACTTATATTGAGGAATCCTATATGTGAATGACTCGTTGGTTCTGAGATTCGAAAAAACTCAGGGCCGTCAGTATAGTCAATTTGCTCAGAGTTAGCCTCTCGGCCGTTAACCTCATCATCGCTTTGACTTCCTAATGACTCATCTGTCTCTAAATTTTAATGTTCGTATGTTTGTTGCGGCTCTCGTGTTTGTGTCTGATGTGGTGTTTTGTTGTGTGGTGTGCATGGTGAACCTGGGTCTGATGCTCTTTTTTTTTTTTGGGTCGATGGATGAAATGTACGTGATGCGTGCTCTCGTGTTTGTGTCTGATGTGGTGATATGTTGTGTGGTATACATGGTGAATCTGGGTCTAGGTCTGGTGATACACTTCTTTGGGTCGATGCATGAATTGTACGGGATGCGTTCTTTCGCGCATTGTTTATAAGATCTTGCGGTACGTTCTTCTTGCGGAATTTGACTACGCTGTCTGCGTTTGTTGTTATTTTGTGTTTGCGACTAGGATTGCTCGGTGCCTTTCTCTTCCTACTCTGTTTTGATTGTTCCTTAGAAGAAATATGCTTGTTCATCATCGCAGTCACTTCCGAGTTTACATTTGGATTTGTGCCCATCGGCTCTCTGGAATATTGTGGCAATAAAGGTTGTGGTTTGTTATTTAAAAAAAAATATTGAAAGTCTGGGCTTTGGAGTTTGGGAGTTTTCTGTACAGACTCTGGGAGTCTGGGGGTTGTCTGTACTGAAGGAAGAGTGGAAGACCTATGCTTTTCGTTGCTTTTGTCGCGTAATTATCGTGTCGACCAACGGTCTTTTATGTGTTGACCAATTGTCGACCTACGTCGAGCTATGGGCGACACTAGAGTATTTTTTTTCGCCGGCGTGGTCTATATCATTCCCCCCCCCCCCCTCATAGATTTGTCCCAAAGATGGCGTGGTTGAATCAGGTCAGGAAAATGTTGGGGTGGAGGTCATTTTCGTTTAAATCATACCTTTTTCTTATTGGACTATAAGACAATTCACATACTATATGCATCAATAAAAAACGGAGTAAGCTTGAAAACAAAATCATTTCGTTTTTTTCCCCAGCCGTTTCGTTGTATTTAACTGTTTCGTATTGGTTTATATTGGTCATTTATTTATAGTTTTTCTTCTTCTCGAACAATATGTTTTAACACGTCTCGTTCAATGAGATCAAAGGTCGAATCCGTTAAAATAAGGGACCATGGGGTAACGTCTCGCCATAATACATGGAAACTGCAATAGATGGTACCGAACGTTCAGAAGAGGAAAGCCGGACTTGGATTGAGTACGTCGCCAGACGCCAGTCATAGCCTCCTAAATTGAACACGCCAGTTCCGCCACAATAATAAATATCTAAATTATAAATCAGACAAAATTCCAGACAAATACAGATTATCCCCAAGCGACCGGGCCAGCAGACCTGCTGATGAATATGGTATTTGGGGTTGGTTTTTAAAAAATAGAAAACATTATATTTAATTTGATATTTGATATTTTTGTTAAAAAATAATAATTAAAAGTAAATAGCTGTGAAGTACATATAATAGTTTTAAATATAAAGAGGCGATGATTGGTGTGATACTCGATCTACAGATTAATAATATATTATAAAAAAATACCAAAAATATGATGATTTTATAATACTTCAATCTGCGTGTTTTTGAACTCTATGTAGTGTATAAACATTTTATACGTATGATGCAAATGGAGGCCATAGTGCCAAAGCCTTAGGCACTTGAATATATACAATCAAAACAAATATTTGAGTTCTATGCTATACGACTGATTACATACCTATAGGTGAAACTCAAGGATGCATAGAAAATGGTATTGTTTTCTGACAAGTGTGTTGATTGAAAATAAATTATGTATATCCTGCAACCAACAACGTACCTTCACACCCGTACAGAAGTAATATATATAT